AGGGACGAGCTTCTTATATCTGCCACCCTCTCAATTTGCTCGCCGTTATCGAACAGCTTTTCAAGATGCTGTTTCTTTTTCCAATTTCCCACCTACCTGCTCACTTCCTGGATCTCCTACAACATTTCCTTGAGATAAATAACCTCCCATTGCTAACAAATTAAATTACTTCTCTTAGCTTGAAAATAAACTGATTTCTGCTTTGAAAGCCAAGAATACAATCTCCGGCCACTATCGGAGCAACGAGAATAACGTCTGTTCACTTCGAAATAAATTCGCAATTTGGAGTGCGAAGAGTGAAGACGTCACTATATAAGCTAGTGATTCGTTACTAGGATACGCTTAGAGAAAACAGTGTACAGTTGTAACCACTGTTGAGAGAGGTAACCTAGCAAGGAATAATGAAATCCGACTGAGAAGACGTATTGTTGAGATCGAATATACTGTATAGCTGTAACCATTGTTGAGAGCGATAACCTTGCAACGAATAGAGAAAGCCGACTGAAGAATAATTAGTTTCTTTTAGAATATAATATATTAAATTTATTTTTCTACTGAAACTGCAAAACAAATTATAAACTACCTTCCTGTGAGGCGGCCGGCACATGGACAGCACCGGGACTAGGTCGTAATATAGACCCACAGCAACAGGTAACGCAATAGCAATTCACAGTCCCAGTACCACCCTACTCATTTCAACAAACCAGCTATATTATGATGCCTTTGGAACAAACAACAATTAACAGAACCCCATCGACAAGTAATAACAAAAACAACACACTAGTTGAGATATACATAAGAACAAACTACATTTAGCAGCGAGTATAGGGAAGGAAGGGATCGAACCAAAGCACAGAAACGACAATTTGACACCCAAACAAGAGAGGAAGCGCTCAGATGAGGATTTGCAATCAACTGAGGCAAATGAAACAGTCACGAACACTAAAAGTAAACAACCAGGAGAACCTAAACCACCACCAATTTATAAATGCGGGGTAACACACTAACGCGAAATGGTAAAACACCTAGCTACAAAGTTAGAAGAAGAGCAGTCTCATACGAAAAGACAAAAATAAATAAATTGTGTGTAAATACTGACTTAATGAGTCTATAAATTTATATATGCCACTATAATATCATATATAGCACTGACGAGCTTCTTAAATCTGCCATCCCCTCAATTTGCTCACCGTTATCGAAGTGGTTTTCAAATTGCTGGTGTTTATGAATTTTTTACCTACCTGCTCACTTCCTGATTCTCCTACAACATTTCCTTGTGATAAGTAACCTCCCATTGCTATAAAATTAAATAACTTCTCTTTGCTTCGAAATAAACTGGTTTCTGTCTTGTATGTCAGAACACAAACTCAGGTGTGCACCCAACCAACGAGAGAATAAGTGCATTACTGTCGAAGGAAATCAGCATCCCAGCTATGAGAGAATAACTGCATTATTTTCTAATAAAATCAGTATCCAAGCAACGACAGAATAACAGCATTGTTTTCGAAGGAATTTACAGTGGATACCGTGTTAAAACGCAGGATTTTCTTCGGCAAGTTACACTACACATGGTGTGACGTAGCGCGGCTGTTGCACTTGCAGGACTGTAGCCAGTATGTCAAGCTCAATGGGCCGCGCCATAGCTCAAGCGGTTAGTCGCTGACTTCCCACCGCGGCGGCCCGGGTTCGTTCCCGGGTCTGGTCAAGTAGGATCTGTGGTGGAAAAAGTGGCGCTGGGGCGGGTTTTCTCTGAGTATTTCGGTTTCCCTTTCCAATCTTCATTCCACCAAATTGGCCATCATCATAACCACCCGGGACAGGTACAATAGGCCAATCAGTGGCCGCTGTGCCCAGTGGACCCAGTTGGACTCCACCTCCCACTAAGCGAATTATAAAAAAAAGGCAAATTCATAGGTATGAACTGGGTATTAACATTACTCTGAGTACCCCAAGTTGTAGAAGGTAAATAACAGGCTAAAATTTTATTGTTTTTCTCTAGCATTGTGTTTCGAAATTAAATTTCTAACCAACTTAACAATTCTCAGCTCTTTCAAGAGGTTTCTTCCCCGTGGAGTGAGGTTTCTGCCTGGGGGTGGGAAAGGAAGAAAAGCAATAAATAATTCGGCAACCAGATCTTTTGTACTGCAGAGGTTCTTACACACCATTTTTCTGACTGTGTTCGGTATCACTTCACGCATTTCCTTTGGGAAGGATGTCAGTGAAGTTATATTAAACCTGGTCCAATCCCCCAACCCCTCAGATAATGCAACGGACGGCCAAGATTTCTGGGGCCTCCAAAACTAAGGCATGAGCCCGCACAGTTTTACAATTTGTAGGGCGATTAAAGTTTTAAATACGCAATTAATTATTTCCACTGTATTTCATGATTTCAATTTTATGTGATTTTTTATTACAAGCTATAGCTATGAATGAGACCATTAGCATTTTTGGCAGCTCCCAGTAGTAAATTTCATGGTCCGAAAATGGACAGATTCCACGATGGTCTAGACTCTAGAGCAATGTGTCCTAAACTTGCCTGATGCACAGATTACTAAAGCAGCAATGGACATTCCAAGGATCAATAGCTCTCTCACACTTCAGGGTACAAAAAATGGCCTATTGATTATAACAGAATAACAGCATTGTTTTCGAAGGAAATCAGTATCGAAGCAACGACAGAATAACAGCATTGTTTTCTAAGGGAATCAGTATCGAAGCAACGACAAAATAACAGCATTGTTTTCGAGGGAAATCAGTATCGAAGCAACGACAGAATAACAGCATTGTTTTCGAAGGAAATCATTATCGAAGCAACGACAGAATAACAGCATTGTTTTCTAAGGGAATCAGTATCGAAGCAACGACAAAATAACAGCATTGTTTTCGAGGGAAATCATTATCGAAGCAACGACAGAATAACAGCATTGTTTTCGAAGGAAATCATTATCGAAGCAACGACAGAATAGCAGCATTGTTTTCTAAGGAAATCAGTATCGAAGCAACGATAGAATAACAGCATTGTTTCGAAGGAAATCAGCATCCAAGGAACGACAGAATAACAACACTGTTTTCGAAGGAATTCGATATCCAAGCAACGTATGAATAAAAGCATTATCGTCTAAAGAGAAAGCAGAAATTGATGTAACAATACGACCTTTTAACTTGCGAGCAAAAAGCGAGTCATTTTGCCTCTGCATGTGGCCTTCCGTAGATGGAAATACATAATTTTAATAAACAACGGGTTTTAGCTGGTTGACCAAATTTCAGAAATGAACCGCATGTTTGTGTATGTTGGCTGAGTGTTGGAAACAGTTCTAGTTTGTCATCTAATTTGCAGACATTTCGACAATTTAACAACACCTTATACTCGTATTAAGACCGCGCCATAGCTCAAGCGGTTAGTCGCTGGCTTCGCAACGCGGAGGCCCTGGTTCGATCCCGGGTCTGAACAAGTGGGACTTGTGGTAGACAAAGTGTCGCTGGGGCGGATCTTCTCCGAGTTCTTCGGTTTCCCCCGCCAATCATCATTCCACCAATTGCTCCACAATCACCCTCACTTATTATCTGGGACTGGTACAATAGGGCAGAAGTGGCTGCAGGACAAGGGACTGAGTCCCACCCCACTGATCTGATCAGTAATCTGTCGGACGACAGGTCCACAGTCTCTTCCAAAACAGTTCCTCCACTTAATGCGATCTTCTGTTTTTGGAAAGAGACTATCCAGGAAAAGTGATAATGTGGTAGTTTTTCCATTTGCTTTCCACATCGCAGTACAGCAGCCGTTCAAACCACTCTGGTCACGCCTGTTGCTATACGAACTTGAACCATCTCGAGCATCATTTGCTCTGTGCTTCAAGTCGCTGCTGATGACGCTGCTTCCGGCATCAGTTTTTGGTGTCTCTCTTCGTCTGATGCCTACCCTTTGACCTGTCCAGCAAGGGAGGCCCTGCCAGTAGCTACGCTACCGCTGGTATAGCTCTCAGGGTCCTTGGCATACTCAAACCCCTCACCACGATAAGGTGGATAGCACACCAACGAGGGGGTCCACCCCACTAGCAATGAATTAAAAAATATATACACGTATTAGCAACTGAACTGCTGATAGAAAATCTTTCATTTTCTCCTTTAATTAATAAAAGCTCTATCATGGCGCCTGGACTTCGATATCCCTAAAGAGTAGATTGGGGGACGGTTTAAGATTTATATCTCC